CTCTCGCCTCCCCTTGTGTTTTATTGTTGAGATGAAATAGTTTCTCAACTGGGGTGAGGCGCTTGTTCAGGATGTAAATGGCCGTGAACATATCACGGAATGTTGGCCATGAAAGATAGTCGCCCTTGAACACATCAGTATCGCATGGCGGAAGGTTTTGCGCACCGATCGCAGACATGCAATTGACATAGCTAGTGAACGAACTTCTGTTTATTTTTCGGAGAGTTCTACTATCTTCTTTAGACAATCCTTCTGAATTAATAAGGTTGCCGTATGTTAGCTTGGTTTTTTCCCATAAAATCTTAAGCTCCTCTTGCTGAATTACAAGGCCATGCTTATTATGCTCTGTTAATGGCCCAGCATTAAAATCAGCTTCGAAATCTGTTACAGACTCTGCTAAGCTCATAAATGACTTCATGTTGAAATTACAAGTTTGGCTTTGCTTAACGAAGCTTTTAACAAAGAATAGATTGGAACTTTGCTAGCTCAAAAATCTTTTCGAAGATTTGATAGCGTATGTCTAACGAAAACTTTACTGACTAGCCAATATAACTCTCAAAAGCTATTTCTTATGACCGCACTTGTTCGTTTTCAAACAACGAAACTATTTTTTGCAAATGAAACCAAAAATATCAAATCACCTAAGAAAGAAAACGATTGTGTCCACAAATCAAAAAAATCACGCAGGATTGTATTTGTATAATTATATATATATAACAGACTTTATTTAAATTATAGGTTTTTTCCAGCAATGATTTGTGGAATATGTCAAACACTTATTTATCTATGTGTACATAAACTCGCCACTCAACTGTGCTAATGAATATTCGTATGTATGTATATATTTCTTGAGATCAATAAAGTCTCAAATATCAATATGTGCAAATTAAATATTGGCAGATTCAACGATCTAAAAATGACTTAGTGAAAGTGCGCGAGTGATTAAAGCCAATTAAAGGGCTGATTAAAAAGGCAAGTTACAAACATTGAGGTTATGTATCCTCCAAACAATGATAAGTGAATTCGTGCAACACGAGTTAATAATTCGTTCAATCTATTATGACAATGTGTTTTAATTAAAGCTACGATAAAAAACACGGAAACCAATATGTTGCAAATAAACTTGAATTAATGAGACACTTTTTGTCGTGCGTGTATGTGCACTATAAACCAATACTAGCCTTTTATGTCACTCGCGGATGGACTGAATCAGCTTAATTATTTGAAGAAAGAAACTACTTCACAAGTGCGCAGTTTTCACAAAATCAGCCGCGTGAATCTCGTTTGCACTGGCGTCTATACGTATAGTATGTGAATTTATTTTGGAGAAAATAGAAATTTTCACAGTTTTCTAAACAAAGTGCACCGAAAATATAACCACGTACCTTGTATTATTGACTGGTGTTTTTTGTAGTGGCAAATATCGCTGGCGCAAGCGGTGCGTTTTCGCAGAAGCAGTTTGTTGTGGCACAAAAACTTGACACTGGCACAGATGCTGGCGTGCTGGTGAATTTTCGATGTGGAAAATCCGCTTTGTTGAATGTAATGGACTGTATGTGGCTTGGTGAATATAGCTGAGTGGCAAAAACTTCTCTGTAGCCTGTAATTTTAAATCGGTCGGCTCCGATGGACCAAATGTTTACACGGGGACGTTTGTGAATCACGCTCCGGTGTAAATATAGCAGAAAGAAATAAATAGAACCAAGATATTTCGATTTTAGTGTTAATTCAATATAAGGTCAATTTATTTCAATATATATATATATATGTTGGTATAACAAAATATTTAAATACCTTTGGACTGGAGTGGCCTGGTAGCTGCTGCGTTCGCGTTGATCTTCTAAAAACGAAGTGAAGGACTTGCGGGATTTTAAATCGGACCGCCGGACAACCGATATTAAGGGGAAACTTAACGAAGGTTTATTGTCCGGCGGGAAACTTTAGTTAACGGCGCGAATTAATATTAGTACGTGTGCACCTGTATGTGTGTGTACATATTCACATATGCCAACATTAGGGCGGGTCGCAAAAATATAGAAATATTTAGGGTAAAGGACTAAACATTCACATTAATGTGACAGTCAACAAGGCTAAAGGTGCACTTGCATTTGTTAAACGATGGTCCAAAGAATTTAGTGACCCTTATATCACTAAAACCCTGTTTACAACATTAGTTAGACTGATTCTGGAATACGGTTCGGTGGTTTGGAATCCAAGGTATCAAATTTACTCACACAAGATAGAATTAATTCAAAAACAATCCCTAGTTTTTGCTTTAATAAATGTTCGTTGGGATTCTCAATATAACCTTCCGCCTTATACGAGCCGATTAAAACTTATTAATCTTCTACACTTTCCAGCCGCAGGGAAATGCTTGGAACAATTTTTATGGTTAAGTTACTGACAGACTCAATTTCAAGTCCGCTTCTTCTGGGTGAAGTTAGCCTTAATGTTTCATTCCGTGTATCAAGACACTTTTATCCCTTATTTTTGAAAACTTGTAAAACTAATTTTGAATTACACGAGCCACTCCGTTGCTTATGCCAGGATTTTAACTCTCATTCCAGCACATTTGATATATCTGATTCGTGACTCGGCGCAAAAAAATTAAAATATTGGTACCCTACGTCATGCGGACTGCGCCCCTCGAGCGGATGGGCGGGAATGAAGGGTACAAACCGTTGGGATCTGGCAACACCGGTTTTTCAAATTTTTCTTTACAAACCTTCTACAGACAGAGAGAAACAAAATGAAATAAAAACGAAGAAAATCCGTTGAGCCGTTCATGAGCTATGCGATACCACACATTTTTATATGTAAAGATTTTTTTCGAGTGGTGGCAGCCCTATTAAATTTTTTTATTAAATTATATTCTGAGTAAAGTACATTATTGCGGCTTATTTAAATTAATTTTTTTTTTGATATTTGAAATATGTGACAACACCGGTTTTCCAATTTTTTCTTTACATTCATTCTGCAGACAGAAAGGCGCAAAATGAAATAAAAGCGAAGCCAATCCCTTGAGCCGTTCTTGAGTTATGCGCTAACACACGAAAGCAATCCCATTTTGCATATAAATTTTTTTTTCGAATAGCGGCAACCCTACCAAAATTTTTTTCTGAGTTAGTTTTTTTTATACATTCTCAGTGAAAGAGCATTATTGCGGATTATTTATAATAAATTTTTTTCTGATATTGCAGATATCTGGCAACACCGTTTTTCCAATTTTCCCGTTACAAACCCTCTACAGACAAAAAGACACAAAATGAAAACGAAGCAAATCCGTTGAGCCGTTCTTGAGTGATGCGATAACACATGAAAGCAATCCATTTTTATATATAAACTTTTTTTCGAATGGTGGCAACCCTATCCCAATTTCTTACCGAATAAATTTTTTTATGCGTTCTCAGTGAAATACGATTATTGCGGCTTATTTATAATTAATTTTTTTTTCTGATATTGCATACATCTGGCAACACCATTTTTCCCATTTTCTCTTTACAAACCTTCTACAGACAGAAAGACACAAAATGAAATAATAACGAAGCAAATCTGTTGAGCCGTTCTTGAGTAATGCGATAACACACGAACAGCAATTCGCATTTCTTTTAGTTTCTATATCACATTTGTTAAAAACTATTTGGATGTTACTACATATCGCACAAGATCTTTAGAGGTGGTACAACTCAAAATGACACGTTTGTTAGAAAATGCAAAAACTATTTCTTAGCACAGGCTAATCATATGGCCAAGGGAGACTTTACGTAAGTTTTTTTCAACAAATTATAACAGAAATTCGCTCCAGGTTTTTCTGTAAGGTAAATAAAAGCTCTGTGCACATTTTTAGTGCATAATTTCAAAAATGCCCAATTTTGAGTTGTGTCACTTTTGAAGATCGTGTGCGATATGTTATATAAAGAGTTGTAAAAAAGGGCGGGTAGATGATAAGCAATCTGTGTATGGGTTATTAATGAAATATCGTCTAAATAAAGGGTTATAAAAACGTTTATAAAAAGCTTTCTTCCAAAAATGTTTAGTAAGTTTATATTCATACGCTTATAAACAACTTTTTTTTACTTTTATTATAAGTTTGCATTTATACGCATAAAAAAAATATTTTCTTACGCTTATTTATAACCAAGGCTCCATTTCGATTATATTACGCTCACTTTCAAGCGTTTTATAAACGAAAAATCAACAAATCAGACCAGCGTAAATTAGTCTCAAATAAAAATGCACTAGCATGCTATAAAGGTACTTTTTGAAATCTGAACCTGCACAAAATAAATACACTCCCGAATTCACATGTATTTCGTGCATTAGTGCGATGAACTTTTGGTGGACAAAAAAACGATTTTCGTTACCATTCGGTTTACCAATGATTTGAAAATTGTTATGCATGCACCAACAATACATTTGGTTTCAATCGAAAAAGTAAGTAGTTTAAATAAAACCATGAAATTATGTATAGTTTGCCCTCACCTTAATCGCTGAGTGTATGAAATAGGTAAAAGTTTCTGTATGTTTAGAAGGTACCACGCCTAAGTATAACCAACCTTGGAAAGTCTGCAGCAGATGTCCAAATTAAAAAAAAAATGGTGCAGAACTTTTTTAGTTTTTGTCCGCCGAACAAACAAACTTAACATTTGTATATCGATGGCTGAGTGGAAGATCTACCTATCTCGGCAGCCAGTTCGAAAACGCCCTATCTCAGAAGACTTTTCAACCACGCCGTACTTCAGAATTTGATTGAAGAACGCACTATTTCAGAATTTTATTGAAAAACATCCTATCTCAGAATTTTGTTGAAGAATGCCCTATCTCAAAATGCATTGAAAATGTGCTGAGATAGGGCATTTTTAAATCGGCAGCTGAGATAGGTCGATCTTCCACTCAGCCATCGATATATGCATATATATGTCCGTACATATACTCATAAATATTTAATTCAATAGATCGGTCTTGAGTCGTCTACAAAGATGTACCGAGCGCTCATTTACCTGTTGCACATAGTGATGCATTACAAGTTCCAAATCATCCATCCGANTTGAAAACAATTTACCGTCTTTCATATCCCAAGAACACCTAAACAGCATGGTGCGTAAATTAAATCTCTCCCATAACAACGCAATGATTTTGGCATCGGAACTGAAAAGCGTGAATGTTTTAGCACCAGGAGTAAAAGTAACGCCCTACAAACATAGACAAGATCCGTTTATGCCATATTTCAAGTTATCGGAAGATGGCACTCAGGCTTATTGCATTGATGTTGCAGGTTTGATGAATGAAATGGGAATTACTGACTATAAACCCGAACAATGGCGTCTCTTTATAAATGCATCAAAGCGAAGTTTGAAAGCAGTATTGCTCTATCGCGATAGTAGCAAGAAACCCGTTCCCATCTTGTATGCGGTTGGAATAAAGGAATCATACGAAACCATGCAATTAATCTTAGATTGCATCAAGTACGAAAAGCACAGGTGGCGCGTGAACTGTGATTTTAAAGTTCTCTCACTACTATCAGGCATGCAAACGGGCTACACTAAATACTGTTGTTTGTTCTGTCATTGGGATAGTAGAGCCAAATGCAAAAACTATACCAAATGTGATTGGCCAAAAGGAAAGGAACAATCGATTGGTCAATTCAATATAGTTCACGAGCCCTTGATAGCGCTTAATAAAATCATGCTTCCCGATTTACATATCAAACTTGGTGTTGTTAAGAATTACATCAAACAGTTGGTTAGAGTCAACGAAACTGCATTCCTATATTTGAAAAATAATCCAAAACTTTCCGTTGAAAAAATCCGTGAAGGTAGTTTTTTGATTGTATATGAGTGTAAATCTCGCAAGTGGTTGTAAACAGAATAAAGTGATTTGTGCGAAAATATCTTGACCGTCCAATTTTGGGTGGCCCATTTGAGAGATTTTCGCTCATATATTTTATTATATCT